TGAGGTGAGGTGAGGTGAGGTGAGGTGAGGTGAGGTGAGGTGCCTGCATGGAGCACAAAAAGCCAAAGCCGCATTGGCAGGCACTGACACCGTCTAACGCCATCTCGAAGCAACCACTTTGCGCAGACGATGTGGAGCGAGATGACAGGCGGGATGGGGGGCGATGGACGATAAGGGGAAAGTGTGAGGGGAAGGGGGATGAGAGAAGCGGTGAGGCGATTTTAGCGCCGCGCAGCCTTCATTCAAACGTGCTTGCGTCATTTGATCACACAATCACGAATGTCGTTTCTTGTGCGTGGTGCGCACGGTTCACGCTCGCAAATCACGAACATCAGTCAGAGTGTGAGTCACGTTTTTGGAACGCTGTGACAGCTTCCACAGTCGCGGCGCGGCGCAGCGCATGCGCGGCACGGTGCAGCAAGCGCGCGTATATGCGCCATGTGCTCCACCACCAGCAGAGGCACAGCACAGAACAGCAGCATCACATTACCTTTCTCGGCGCATGCTGAGGCTCGGCCGGCGATGAGCGATGAGGAGCACTGAGTGACTGCACTGCACTGGCACAGTCATCCGTCTGGCAGCACACCTCGTCTGAATAGGTGAGGGGAGGGGGAGGACTCAAGGTCAGAAGAGCGACGAGGAGAGGGGGCGAGCGTGTGTGTGTGGATGTGTGGGTACATATATACAACTCTTTTCCTGCTGAGATGCGCATCACGCACCTTGCCTCCTTCTTATTCTCCCTCCCTCTCTCCATACCTCACACCTCACAAAACTACTTTTACCACCACTACTGCTCCTGCCAACCCGCTTAGCCTAGCAGTCATGTCTAAGCCCAACGGAACAGCGGCAGCCAGCAACGGTGCGAATGGAGCCGCAGCCACCTTCCACGCTCCACCCAGCGCCGGCGGATTCTCACGCATTCAGCCCGATCCCGAACTGGTAAGCTACCCCAGCCCCACCTCCTGGCAATCCCTGTACACGTCTGAAGATTTCCTGTTGCGCGCTCAAGAAGTGAGCGATCTGCTGCACAAGGATGAAGCGGTTAGAGATCGTGGAAATGTGGTGCCGCATAGACAGGTGCAGTTGTTGAAGGATAGCGGACTCTGCACGCTGCTCGGTCCAAAGAGCGCCGGTGGAGGCGGTCAGGATTGGCAGACGGCCTATCATGTCGTCCGAATCATCGCCCAGGGCGA